TTCTATTTTGACTCGCACATATTTGAACTGCAGCGTGTTGAATAAATCTTTCCCAACATAAATTACTATAAGTGATGATAATATTGACGAATGTCTTGTCCAATTAAGGATTCTGGCAGAAATCGCTTCGCACATTGCCAGATTATTATAGCGCATGAACCACCTTTGAAGGTACTTTTTGCTCACTATCAGTTGCAAACTTAGGTTTTTAACAACTAGACGACTAAAGCATTTCAAACATGAACCATTTCGAAGGATTCTTCAAAGAAATGAATTGCTATCAGTCTACTATGGGTATAAAAGGACCCATTTGTAGTGTTCACCGGCATTTACTATTGTTATGCACTCCGTTCTAGTTCACTCACATTTACTATTCATTCTTGCTGTGAGTTATTCCTTCCACTGGTAACGGCAGCCAATTCGGCAAAGTTCAATCGCCTTAGAAGGGATTAGCGGTATTGTAGAACGTTTCGCAATAAAACAACTCTCTCTTTCAAGACTACCTATTTCAATTTGCTTGTATTCATATTTGTCGGTGGCGCAAAAGCATTTGCCATATTCGGAGGCGATATGTCAAATAAGACCGCTGAAGAAGTTGAAGAACAAATGCAGGCGCTCAAGGTAGGAGCAGATATGACTTTTTGACCGTTGTAAGAGTTAAGTCATACAGGTGCTAATTTCATTCACATTGCATTGTGCAGCATTGATTTGCACGGTTGTTAGTATTTTATTCAATGACGTTGAGAAAATTAGGATTCGAATGCCATCAATAGTTGTGAGTTTGCGTTTTTTTGGAATAAACGCAGCTGCATGAAGATGTGGAAGAATCCTTTAAATGAACGTCTTAAATTTCAAGAATGTGATGCTTCAGGTGGTGGTTATCCTCGTCTTTACTGCGACCTTCAATTTCGTTGCAGCTGCTCTCCTATTCATTTACAGACCGAAAGAGGTGCAAAAGGCGCCAATATTGCTTGCTGGCGGGGTAGAATTTGCAATTTGCAATGCAAAAAAATACACCTACTAACTCAGTTGCTTTTCCAGGTAGTATCTGCTCTTGCTCTATTATTTGCTATTGGAATAGTAGTATATTTCGTTAAAAGGCCACCCAAAACTCAGTCTATGCAGGAAGCTAATGCGCGGCTAGTGAGCGCGTAAGTTCATATAGCTCTTGAAGAATTGATTAACTGACTTGACTAATTCCAGAGGAAATCAGAACGCTGCTCATCCTCCTC